GTTGGTTATTTACTTTTATTGTGGTTTCTTTGTTCAACAAAAGTTTATTTTTTAATTTTATTTTGCTCAAATTAATTACTCTATTTTTTGAATTTAAGAGAATTATTCTTTTTAATATAAAAATGTTTTCTACAATATGTACAAGGAGTTTTAGAATTTTACTTTTTCCATATAAGTCTTCAGTCTATTTGGAATAGACTTGTGTGTGATGTGAGATGGGGGCCCAATTATGCCAATGCCAGGACTCTTCTGAAAATATCTTATTCCTATAGCAGTATTATCTGTCTTCTATCAACTTATTGTGTAATAATAGATTTGTTTCCAGCTTCTGCACCTACCTCTCTGTGGTATTTTGTTTTGTTTTGTTTTTTTGATGCTGAGGATTGAATCCAGGGCATTCACACTGATGTACATTGCAGCTCCTATTTGTCTGTCTGTCTATCTATCTATCCATATCTAATCTATCTCTATTTTTGAGACAGTCTCACTAAGTTGCAAAGTTGACCAGCTTAGGCTCAAATTTGCAGTTTTCCTGTCTCAGCCTCTCAGGGTGCTGGGATTACAGGTGTGTGCCACTGCACTTGGTTTATCTCTCCTTTAATAACACGCTGTCTTAATTCCACTTTTCCTAAAGTGCATTTTCTTGTTACTCTTCCAGTGAACACCTGTGAGTGGCATATTCTTTCTTTGACTGAAAATTTGCTTATTTGCTCCTCTTTGTTGAGTTTTCAGCAATGATATTTCTGAATGACTATACTTTTTATACAACTTTCTTTTTTCTTCATCTTCCCCACTCCCAAGTCTCTAAGATAATTTATTTTTTAACAGTATTTCCCCCTCACCAAGAAATCCCCTGTGAGAAGACAAACCAAAACAGCAAATTCAGAGCTACTACTTTTCTTTCTTCAGTCATATTTTTTTCCCTTTTACATTTGTTGCTTTCTTTTCCTGCCTGGAAGTTGGATGTTTGTGGTAGAGCTGAGATCTATATCATAAGCTCATTCACTTGGTATGAATGTGGCCAAGACTGGTGTGAGGTAGGAGCAAATTGAGCATTTCAGCCATGAAAGAAAAATTATTGGCATAAGGAAACAAAAGTAATGAGCCAGAAACTGGTTCCAGCTATACCAGTATGAGAAATAGTTACAAAATCTAACATGACCCACAGAGGTAAACAAAACTGGACAAAGGCATTTTGTATAAGCCAATCAGTCTTTCACTCCACTCAGAAATTATAGGTCTGGAATGTGGAGATTGTAGTACATTTAATAATCCTTGTCCCAAAATAAATAGTTAATGTCCAATTTATAGTGCAAGAAAATTAGTTCTGTAAAAGCGAAGAAACTTGCCAATATCAACTGGCAAATAAGCAGTACTGAGTAGCTAGAGTCAGCCAGGCCTCTCTCAGGACCAAATATCCTGACCTCTTAAGCATATGAAAGGTTATGAAAACATTTTTAAGATGCTGGAGTTAAGAACCTACCTCCTGTTAAACATACTGATTATCAAAAGTGACAAAAGAGAACACCTTCGCCTTCGTCTTCTACTTAGTTTTGCTACAGCACCATAAATTCCAAATAACACATGAATGGACTCTAACAGCACACTGAATTTGAACTTCTTTTCTTTTCAATTCTTAAAATACATAAAGTGCAAATAATCTCTTAAACAGGTGGTAAATTACTTGAATATAATCTAAGGAGAGCCAGGAATATAAGGCATTTCATCAGTATAAATTATTATTAGCTTTCTTCCCAGGAGCTAGCACTTACTGAATATTTATTGTGCGCTAGGCTCTGTGATATTTTACATGGAGTGGTTATGCAATCTTTGCCACAGATATATAAAGTATATACTAGTATCATCATTGTCTTCTTACAGAAGAGGAAAAAGTGACTCAGAGAGACTAAAAAATTACTTTGTCAAGGTGGTGGAAATATATTTTTAACTTAGTCATATCTATTTTATTCTAGTTAATAGCCTTGTTACATTTTGAAATAATCCCACTTGACAGTTCTCTCTTCTCTTTGGTATCATCTACTTTATTTTTATCTTTGTGAGAGCTTACCAAATAAAAACAAAGCAGGATGTTATTTTCATTAGATGAGATGCCATGTTGGTAGCATGGAAAACACAAGCTGGTATTAATGATAGCACAGGTAGATAATGTGCTAACTCCCACATGCAAACTGGGGCCACAGAGTACCTTGAACTGAGTGGCTCAGGCCTGGGCAATGTGCCTGATTAGTAGCCACAAATTATGGTGGGGGGATATTTACAACTCAGATTGAAATCTGGGAAATTCCTGAAGCCAGGGATAGTGCAACTGTCCAACCAAAATTTAGTCTTTCTACTGCAAACAGGAGAAATGGGAATACAGAAGCATTAAAAGATGAAGGAAAATAAATTAGAGTCAAATAAATGAAATTCTTATTCCCTTTCCAGTAAAAGATTGTCATAAATGAAAGCTTAAAAACAAATTATGGTTAGATTTCACATCTTAAATATATTCAATGGATGATGTTATGTTAGTTACTGATTGCTGTCTCATGACAAGTTATACCAAACTTAGCTACTCGAAAGAGCATTTCTGTAGGTTGTAAGCTGGGTGCGGGTTAGCTGGCTCAGGGTTGCTCCTCAGGTTGCAACCAGACTGCTGACTGGGCACGTATTTGCTTCCAATGTCACTCACACAGTTGTTGATAGAAATCAGTTCTTCATATGCTATTCTGCTGAAGACCTCAGATCCTCACCATGTGGCCTCTCCATAGTGTAATCCAAACAGTCAGCTGGTTTCCCTCAGAACAAATAAGCAAGAGAAACAAGATGCCTAAGATGGTCTTTGCATAATCTTATCTTGGAAGCAACACCCTATCATGTCTAGTGTACGTCACTGTTTTGAGTTGAATCACTAAGTTCAATCCACACTCAAGGAAAGAAGATACGGTTTAGATCTAAAATTTCCCTCAAAAGTCTTATGTTCAGAGATGGGGCGTTTGAAAGCTGGTTGGAGCATGGGGGTGCTGAATGTACTGTCAGCAGGTAGGACCTGGTTGAAGGAGGTGAGTCACTGGTGGCGTGACCCGGAAGGAGATATACTTGTTTCCTTCTTTTCCTTTCTCTCTCTGCTTCCTGGCCACCATACAGTGAACAGATTTCCTCCACCGTACCCTTGCACCGAACCATTTTTGCCATGGAGCCAGTCTACCATGGACTGACTCCACTGAAACTGTTTACAAAATAAACCTTTCCTTCTTAAATTTCCTCCTTAAACCTTTCCTTTATTGGCCCAGCAACAGGGAAGTGCGTAATACAGAGGATGACAAAAGCCATGATTACCACGCACGAAAGAGGTGAGGATTTTAGGAGCCATGGTAGGCTGAATGCTAGTGTTTTCTCAAAATTCTTATGTTGTAATTCTCATTCCCAGTGTGATGGAGTTTAGAGATGATGCCCAGGGAGGTAATTAGGAGACAAGGGTGGAAACTTCATGAGTGGGGTTAATGCCCCTAAGAGACACAAGAGTTTGGTCTCACTCACTGCCATGTATACAGTGAGAGGAGGGTCATTTGCAAGCCAAGAAGATGCCCTTATTAGACACCTGTGTCTTCTAGCACCTTGCTCTTAGACTTCCCACCCTTCAGAACTGTGAGAAATAAATGCTTATTGTTCAAACCACTTGGTACTTTGTAATATGTTTTAGCAACCTGAGCTGACTATGACAGCTCCATCTTAGGAGCTATGTGATGTGGTGTGTATGTTTGTGTGTATGTGTGTATAGATACATATGTTCTCAGGGGCAGTGAGTATACATAGCATGGGGCCAGAAGTGCATTGAGTCCATATGCATTTTCCTGTTAGGAGCACTGGAGAAGTCAATTGTATTGGTTTCTGCAGTAGTCAGAGTCCCAGGGAAGAGATGAAATTCACAAGTTGGGCATCTGAGCTGGCTTACAAAGGGACTATTTACAAAGGTTTAATGAGCAAAGGTAGCGAAATGACAAGGAATGGGCTCATAACAACCTGGCATACCACTACCCCTAGGCCTCCAGCAATAAAGTGAAGGAGAAGATACCAGAACCTAGAGAAGATATTTGTTTGAGAAGACTCTAGAAGAGCTACAGCTTTCTGTTATGGGCAGAGGCAGCCTAGAGCATCTTCACTGGCCAGGTGCCAGGGGAATAGAAACCTTGATTTCATGCTTGTTCATTCATCTGCGGGCACTACTCACTGGGTACAGCTGAGGGTAACACAGTCCACTGATGAAGTCAATATAGATCTGGGGTATATAGTGGCATGGAAATAGTGCAGGACAGATTTGGAGGCATGACCAGAAGACAGTACAGAAAACAAATGTACTTAGGAGGAAGATCTTAACCACAATTGGCAGGGAAGAAGAGAGAGGTTTACACGAATAGATGTTGTTTAGAGCAGGCTAAATGGAAGAGTTTGATGATAGAGAAGGATATCTGACATCAAAACTGGCTTTCAAATAATTGCATCTCTTGAAGATCCTTAAAAATAGGAAACACATATCCATCTCTATGAAGTGATTTGGGAAAAGCTGCCCTGATGAAAGGAATGTGAATGGCTAGATGACTTTGAAGGGTCCTTGTAACTTGAGGATTCAGTGTTCCAGGAGGAGTGATGGAAATCAGGGAATAGGATCTCCTGCAAAATATTCACAACTCTTTGAAATGGAAATTAGGCTGTTCCAATTGAGGAATCAAATTAGAGCAAATAGTCAGGGTGTTAGCAGACCGTGCTCAAGCCTGTTTGAAGCCACAGCTAAAGGAGGGAAGTGTGCTTTTTTTCCTGGATGAAGCAGGATCTCACTCAGCCTGTTTTCATCCTTGCTTAGCACCTGCTGGCTTGGAATGGTGTTACCCAAGCAATCAGACTGAGGATCTGCCAAGAGCCTGACCTCCCCAAGTCTGCTGCCCCTCCCCCCACACCCCATGACGGCCTGTCCTGATATAGATGGGCCAGGACTGGTTTAAAATGACAGTCTCAAGTTCTTTTAGGAAGAGAAGGCTAATTCAAAGAAACAGCCATACAAGCTTCTTTTCTTTGCAGGAATAATTATTAGCCCCCTTTACCATGGCCCACCTGGGAGCCCATTTTGCCTTTAGATCCCGCTGGCAGAAAACCGACGATGAACTCTGTCGACATAGCATGTCCTTTATCCTGCACAGAGCCATTCGAAATGACTTCTTTCAGTGCTATCTCTACCTGCTGGAAAAAATTCCCTTGGGTAAGTGAGTCAGAACTGTGGGACAAGGGACAAGAGGAGACTGGAGGGATTGTGCGAGGCTGTGGGACACCTGGAAGAAGTGTTAGAACATGAAGGATACTTTTCAGAGAAAAGAATCCATGGCCAACATACAAGAGTTGAAATACTTCAGTGGCATTCTTTTATGGGTAGTCAAAGATCAAGTCTGCTGGGCAAGGCAGGGCTCTATTTCAGGATGCCCATGCACCCTCACACACAGTAATTTGCTTCTCTAGTGCCAGACTGGTAAAAACTCATTTCTTGGGTTTTGAAGAATAGTTTTATTACTTGCAAAAATGTGAGCAAATTAGGTAACTGAAAAGTGAAGGTATTAATGTAACAGTACATAAAGTACTAGTTAAGAAGAAAGACTAAGCAATAATGGATCAAAATGCACTTGGCATGCATGTGAGTGTGTGTGTGTGTGTGTGTGTGTGTGTGTGTGTGAGAGAGAGAGAGAGAGAGAGAGAGAGAGAGAGAGAGAGATCCTCTTTGCTATTCATGAGTTACAGAAACCTTAAAAAGATCAATAAATGTTTGATCTTTGAATATTTAAAAAAAAGTCTAGGGTAGTAGTTTGTCTCCATTTCTGTTATTTCCTCCAGTTTTCAGGGAATTGGACAATCGAGCAATAAAAACTCGTCTGGCTTGTCCACACTACTTTTCTCAGCTTCTGTGAAGGCAGTTACTTCAGGGTACTCTAAACATCATTGAAGAGGAAACAATTTAGGATTATAGACTGAAGTGCCACTCTTACCCCTGATTTATACTTTCTCTCCATGAAAGCAGGAACACTGTGTCTCAGCTCGGTCTGTTTTCTTAAGGTTGTCTGAAAGCCCCATTGTGCACTTGATACTGCCCAAATTTCCAGCTGTGGAGAGGGGTGCATAATTATTTGTATTGCATTTGAGAAACTGGATATAAACCTCCTATCAAAGCCTCATTTCATAAAAGCATTTCAAAGAGATCTTTAATTCTAGACATATAAATCTTTGGATTTCACACTTACATCGCTTTTTTGAAAAATGTTTTCTCATTTATGACTTAATTTAATCCTCACAGCCACATTATGAGCTAGACAGTGTCAATATCATTATTTCCCCTCCCACTTTCCTATGTTTTCTCTTCAAATTTATTTTTCAGATGAAGGACAGAAAATTTAGAGATCAGGATATCTAATGTAGAGAAAATAACATCAAAATAAGAACTGAAGTCCAGGGCTCTTTCTGGTAGACCATACTGCCCACAAGTCATGCTTCTTGGACATATTATGTTATAGTTCATCTATATTCAAACAGAAAACTTACATGAGTTCATTTGGAAGGTGATGATGACTTGGAGGCTCCATACCTTGGCAGGGCATTGTTTTTCTGGAGATACTCTTCAGGCTACACCTTAAGTAGAGCAGTTTGGCAGCTGTGGCTGCTTTAGACTGAAGAAAGCTCTCAATCGTAGTAACAAAGAAGAGACTCACTAGTCTGTAGATAACAGCCAAACTTTAAAAATAATTACTGGAAAGAAAAGTAATGCATCTCTCAAAGCAGCAGAAGATAAATTAAGATTAGAAGTGTCTCTTCTAAAATCAGATGAAAACTAACTTGGAGCAAGTAGACTATAATTTGCATTTGACCACACTCTTTTTTTCCACCCAATATAATTGTCTTCCTTTCATAGTAATTTTGATTTTACCTGCTTCTCTCCTTTGTGAGTGTGCTGATAATTTGTCAGTTATTTCCAGCTTTTTATAAAGCATTCAGCCTGGGCATTACTTTTCTGTAGAGACACTGAGTTAGTGTTATCCACGATACCTCTTTGCTGATAGAAGCTGAAGATTAGTTGATACGGACTAGGCTATGCTTCAATAACAAATTAGCTCTGAAATGCCAATGGCTAAATGCAAACATTTGCTTTTGCTACATCATTTTTAACACGCATTATTGTGAGAGAGGAGCCTTTAGTCCTCATAGCTATGTAGTGATCCAGGGCAATACCATCTTGATCAGCTAGAATGTCACTAGTTGTCAAGAAGAAAGACAAGCTCAAAGTTTGTCTGCTAGCTGTTAACACTTTGACCCCAAAAGACATGTATCTGTATAGAGTCCACTGTCCGGGCCCACACAATTCTAAGCAATGTAAAGGGAGCACATGTCTTTTGGCCATTAAATGTTCCTGCCACAAGGCAAAATCACTGCTTTTTAGGGACAGACACTTCTTTCTGATCAGTTCAATGATACTTGATTCAAGAGAAATTTATAGAGTTCTTATTGTGCAAAATATGCACTGGAGAAGATTCAAACACTAATAAGACTTTGTCTTCTGTAGGGTTTTATAATCTGGCAATGGAAGCAAATCTATAAATAACTTTTTCTATTCTCAAAATCTTAGTGCAAAGAAGGCAAGTTATTCTTTCTGAAATAGCCTTTCTGCAGTTTTGTTATTGCAGAAACTAAATCAGCATGTAAATTTGAAGTGTAGCATATCTAATTAGAAGGGTTTCTCAACCTATGAACTCACTTAACTATTAATTTTTGTCCCGGGAGATTATAACTTCTACTTGAGGAACACATCTGCATGTCTGATCTCCCCTATTGGATCCTAATTTCCATGAGAGTAGAGATTCATCTATTTTTTCCACTTTTAAAGCTACATATTTAGCATTTTCCATGGTTCTTGACACCTAGAAAGAACTCAGTAAATATCTGTTAAGTGAATTAAATGTCTTCTTACCAATCATTAATTGTAGGTCACTAAAGTATTGAGTTTATATCATGCATTGCTACTACTAGGGGAGGGACTTCTGCATGTTACTGAAGCCTACAAGAATCATTTCCCTCAAAGATGTTGCAGGGCTGATTGAAGGATTAAATGCAGGATATATGTGAAAGTAATCAATCTTCAGTAAATACTAGTTTCTTCCTTTCCTTCTTCTGAACCAGACCTCTTTTAAAATCAACATGTAGTATTTTCTAGAACAAACATGCCCCAAAAGAATAAGCTTACTTCAGTATATGAGAGTTTACAGGTTGCTATGGATATTATGCTTTTCAGATTGGAAACAAAACTCAGCCAGCAGAGATGCTTCCTCCCCCAGCTCTGCTGAGGTGTTTTGGAGTGGGCTTCTCCTACTCTTGATGATTTCAAGATTTCATAGAAATGAAAATAAAGCCCTTCTTTCAAAAAGTTTGGCGACCCCTCCTGTACAGTCTGTACAGAGAGTTGGTTGTTTAGGGCAATTATGGAGAGAGCTGAGGCTCACCAGCCTGTTTGGTTCCTTCTTTCCTTCCTTCCTCCCTCGACTGCCTGTGCTGGGCAGCTGGTTTCCCTCCAGCACACTATGTGGCGACATTCAGTCATGGAGAAAGTTGCCGTAATGTTCCTGGCTAACTTTAGGACTCTGTGGAGCAGCAACGCAGGCGCTCTAAAATGTCCAATACAAGATTTAGAAATGCAGTTGAACATAAATCCTCAGGAAAAGAAACAAAGGAAACCAGCTTACAACTGTTTTTAGTGTTTTGAGTTTATTATCTGGGTTTACCCTCACAACATCTCCATTAGGATTATTACTATTTTTCCCATTTTATGTTTGAGGAACTGGTGCACAAGAGCTAAGTAACTAGCCGCAGGTTTTATAGTGGCAAGTGGTGGAGCAGGACCACAACCCAGGCGGTCTTGCTGCAGAGTCTTTTTTTAACCACTATATACCATCTCTCCATGTAAGTAGAAACTTGATTAATGTTGCAAGCTATATAAACTTCCCATATTTTGTTTGACAGGAATAGAAAATAGTCTGTGAAGAACATTGGCTTTCTATTGGGATCAAGACGGGCAGGTCAGAGAGTAGATTCATCCAATCAAAGTACATCACTCTAGTTCAGTTGGAGGCTTGGAGTGAGCAAATTTTCCCAAAGTGGCTGTTTCTGAACAAATAGGAAGCAGAATAGGAAAACATGTGAGTATAACCCTCCAGCTTGTATACCAGTGCTCAAAGGGACCGATGCATGTCCCAGTTACAGATGTTCATGTACGTTAATGTTCTATAATGTTAAAACTGTCCACATTTCTGAATACACAGGGGTTAATAGTAATTGTTTTATTCAACAAGAGTTTACTACTCCTGGACATTTAAAACCAATGGTTTACGTTTGGATAGCACACCTTGTGGCCTGAGGTCAATACTTCTTCTCTACATAATAGTAAGTTACCAGGTCCCTCTAATGCTCTCATCACTCATTTATAAAATGGAGATTATGGCACCTGTCTTGTAGAATCATCAGAACTAACTTGTAGGATTAAAGGAGGTAACATGAGAATACCCACCACCATGCCTGCAGGAAGTCCTCAATGCATTTTAGTTAGTAGCCTTCTTTCATTTTTTCCATTTTACAATAATCTGTCTTTAAGGAGGAAAATAAAACAGTGGCCATCTCCTTGCTCATCATAATTAAAAGACAGAGTTAATAAAAATAATTTTCTACAAAACACTTGGAATTTCCATAATGAAACTCACCATACAGCTACTAGTATTTTTAAACTGACTTCATCCTCGTGGCCAGAACTGTATTGACACACAGCTCACTATGTTTTTAAAAATGTTATACTTTCTAAATGTTTATTAATGTTTATTATTCTTTGCAATGCGAGTTGCAAGATCATCTTTCTCTTTAAGAATGAAGAAAAACAATTTTCCTTCTTATGTAGCTGACATATTTTCAGGCATGGAGTATAAGATGGATAAACTATGGGTTTTGGACTTAATTAGACCTAAATTCAAATCCCAGCATGCTGTTCACTCATTGCTTGATCTTGGCAATTTAGTTGACATTTGCTGCACTGGTTTCTTTTTCTGTAGAATGTATACATATTCAGTTAATCATTCAGTAGGAGTGATTTGCATGTGCATAGCATCTATGCACATTTGATCAATGATGCTTCTATTTTATCTGGGGTATGAATTCATATTAACTGTACAAAATAGTAGGATT